CAAAACAGAAACAAACTCATGGATACAGAGAACAAATTGATGGTTGCCAGATGGGAGTGTGGTTGGGGGATGGGTGAAAAGAGTGAAAAAGATTAAGAAGTACAAATTGTCAGCTATAAATATAGTCACAGGGATGTAAAATGCAGCATATGTTACATAGTCAATAATATTGTAATAACTATGTATGGTGTCAGGTGGGTACTAGACTTATTGGAGTGATCATTTAGTAAATTATATAAATGTCTAACCACTATGCTGTATACCTGAAACTAATATAATATTGACTATCAACTGTGAAAAAAAAAAATGGCTGTACAATGAATCTGCAACTAATAGTCACCCAAAGAGCCAGAGATAGTCAAGGTGCAGCAGGAAGAAAGCTCTTAATCAGGAACTGTAGACAATCCTTGAGTGTGACGTACATACTGGGCTGTTTTGTTAGCCAGTTTTATTTTTCTTCCCTACTAAGTTTGCTGCTCATTAAAATATTACCTCTGGGCAATAAATCGAGGTGTGTTTTGGGTAAAACATCTGGGGGTGTCAGAATCTACCTCAAATAAAAATGCAGTTGACTCACTGGGGACACAGCCCCTTATCTTGGTAGTCAGTAAAGCAGCTCCCTTCCTTCTGCTCTGCCTCTAGAGCCCTGGCTCACCTCCATCTCCATACCTCAGTGAGGGAGGAGGAGAATGGAGGTAGCTAGCTGCATGTCTCCATCCAAATAGCAACGAAATTCCTTGGCCTAACTGTTCAGTAATCCTCTGCCAGTTGGCTACCTCCCTCTCCTCTGGGAATGCAGTGAATCACACCTCCACAATGCACTTGGCCCTTGCACGTCCTGAGGGCTAGAAGCCAGCATCTGCCAGCTCAGAGGAGCTGCAGTCAAAATGCTAAGCATGGATCAGTGCAGGGCCCTAGAATTTCTGAGTGCCTGAGGCTTCACAGCCACAGGGGAAGAATACTGATCTGGGAATGGCAGAATTCAAAACTCACCAGGCTGCTTGCAGGGTCAAGTTTTCTCTTTCTCTCTTTTTAAGGGCCTTTGCAGGAGAGGACATTCTCAGGTAAGCAGAGCAAAGGAGTGAATCTGCTTGGTTCTCTTCCTGCCTCACCCCCTCCCCCACTGCAGAGAAGGCAAACCTCTGCTTCTTAAGATCTCTAGCTGATAGGACATTAGTAGAATACCAGGAGCAATGCACTGGGTCGGGAATAATACCAGGTGCATATCTGGTGGTTTTATGTCAATGGCTCAAGGTCAGAGAACCAGAGGTGACTGCTGCAATATCCCTTTTACTGTTGGCATCAGAGACACACGTTCCAAGGCTAGATCTTTTACAAAAGCAGGGAGAGGATAGGGTTTCGGCTGCCTCTAGTTAGAGTGACCAGGGAAAATTTCTGTAGATAGATCTTCAGCATAAAGCCCTATGAGACATAGCAGAGCAGGAGGAAAATAAAGTCAATTTATGCAGCTTCCTTCCCTGCTTGGTAATGCTCAACCAGTCAGCAGCCACCTCTCTGCCCAGAGAGCTCTCAGGCGAGGCTGGCCCATTGTTCAGTGCTGGCTGATGCTCCTTTCAACTTGATCGCAGACTTACCAGGCCACCTCTCACTGCTCACTCAACCACGGCTGGGAAGGCACAAGCAGAAGGGACACTTGGGAGCAGGAGGGAGGTATGAGTTGAGCCCCACAAAGCTGCAGCAGGTAGAAACAGAAGTAAGATTGGGGAATTAGCCTATTATCTTACTAAATTGTCATGGAACTTGTAAACAAAATAACCCCTACAGCACTATTAACTGGGAATTTCAACTAAGTTTCTTGCTTACTTGGTGAAAAGCCAGTGATGAAAAGCTCTGTCTATGGACCCTTGCACTCCCCAGCAACCCTGCTAACTTGGGGATGCCTTTGCAGGGCTACCTGGATTTCATCTCCTGAAGGCTGGAAAGAAGCTAGAGCAGAACCCACCACTGCACTTGCTTGCTCATTCTCCAGCTTCTCCAGGAGCAGAGCAGCTCTAGGTCTGAGCTATTCTTAGGGCAATCCTGCACCCCCTCCCTTCCACATGCCAGCCACCACTGCCAAAAGATATTTTTAAGTTATTTTTCCTGAAAAGATCAAAACAATCTTCCACTTGGTGCCCAGTAAATCTAACCTGGATCCTGTAGGGACATAGCAATGAGTAATTTACTTTCTGCTTCATGCTGTTCACTCCTGTCACCCACTCCCTTGCTCTCTCTACTTATTCTAAAGGCCTGGTTCGTGTGCAGTGAGCTTCCTGACACACACCAAATCCCACTGCATCTTCAGAGGTCTCTTCAGTCTCTTAACCTCCTGTATGCATCCCACACATCTGTCCAAAGCTGCCCTCATGCTTGCCTCCTTGCCTTGTCTCCCAGGACAGGAATCTGACCATGATCATTAGTTCCAATGCTTGCTGTTTTCTTTAGCATCAACCGTCTCCTGTGTTCTGCCTCTTTCTTATTAGATGATTAACATGGTCAAACCTCTTGCATTGAAGAAGGAAGAAAGAAAGGAAGTAGAGATGGAGGGAGGAAAAAGGAACAACCACAAGAACCCAACTATCTACCTCTCCTTGACCCACTATCTCTTTCCTTTCCCTTGGAAATATGTATTTAACACCCTCAGAGGTGCACATTTTTCCCATGTTGGTACCACCACTGAAATTGTCTTTTAGAGGATAGGAAGCATCACATCATAGATTAATTGCAGTGCTTTCTTTCTTTCTTAGTGGGAACATGGAGTAACATGTCTTAGTACTGATGACATCTTGGATGTGATGAAATGTGGCATGCTACTTAAAAGAGAGCATTGAATCCCCTTTGTGTCATGTGTTGTTTGATCCTCAACTACTGTACTATTGTTTCTGTTCCCAACCACCTCACTGAAAATCACTTTTCCATGGTCACCCAGGGGCTCCTCTCAAAACCAGTATTTTTCAACCCACATTTTATTGGACCTGTATTGTTTTTGACGTTGGCTTCCTGAAATTGGGCACTCCGTTTCTAGAGCATGCTGTCTCTCCTGCCTCCTGACTTCCCTTTCCCCCCCTGCCCAGCCCTTCTCTTAGTCCATGGGGCCAGGGTTCCTGGGGGTATATTCCTTAGTTCTCTCATTCTACACTATACCAGTAATGGCAATCTTACTACTTGCTTCATCTGCCACTCGTGTACAAAAGCTTTCTAGTCTGGGTCTGTACTTGCATCTATCTTCTGGGCACCTGCCTACAGTGTCTCTCTCTCTGTATTTTCATTTCTTAAACCAGAGCCTCCCAACCTGGAACCATTTTCTCCCCAAGGGATATGTGGTAATTTCTGGAGACATTTTTGTTGATTACAACTTGTGGGATGATGTTACTGGCATCTAGTGGGTTTTGGCCAGGGATGCCACTAAATATCCTACAGTACATAGGACAGTCCCCTACAAAAAAAGAATGATCTGGCCCAAAATGTCCATAAAACTGAGGCTGAGAAGCCTTGCCATATGCACTTCAGATGGGTAATGCCTCACACTGAACTTCCCCTTGAACATCTTCCATGTGCCATGCCACTGTGTTCGGTGATTACGTCTGTCCCCCTACTGGGCTGAAAGCTGATAGACACATTGTGCTTTATTCATCTTCTCAACTTTAGTCCTTGTCAAGGAATCTGAATGAAATACAAATATCCAACAGCATTGTGAATTAATGGAATGTGTAACTATTGTCTGTGTGATATCCCCAGAGAGAAACTAAGTTCTCTGAATGCCAGGACCATCGTAATCTACCACTAGGTGTTGAGGAAGGCAGAAACAGTGAGGGAAAAAGTGGAGGATTTGGGACAGGTGCTAAATGTGTAGAATCTAAGATATCATGCCTCTGCTGGCCTAGTATGGGTTAACGCCTGTGGCCACACCATCTGCGGCAAGAGGGGTGGTGGGGGGCGGCGGGGGCAGCGGGCAGGGAAGCCTGAAAACAATTTAGATTCTATTACACTTTTTAAAAATTGTAAAGAGGTTGAAGAAGTAGGGAGAGAAGGTGTATGTTGGTAAAATGTGATTTCAAAAAAATAAAAGTTAAAATTAAAAGATGAGCCCAGATCGTATTTGGAATAGTAAACACACTATGAAGTAAAACCAAAGGGGGAACACTAGCATGAAAATAAAGAGAAAATCCTAGATGAAAAAATGATAATTTCACACCGTTAATTTTTTTCATCTATTCTAGCATTCTATTATATTCTTATTTGGGTAATATATAACATCTTTGAATTCCCAAAATTAGAATAAATTTTTATGATACCATATGGATTGCAGCTCCACCATTTTACCTCAAATTTTGCTTCCTTCATGTTTTCTTCACAGGAGGCATCTATTAAACAAAGCTGTAAGCTGTACCTGAGTGCCTGCTCACACAAATTGTAGGAGTCTGTGTCATGTTCCCCATTCCCCTTTGAAGCCCTGAGATAGACAACCAGTGCCCCTGGCTGCTTGCTCAAAGGACACTATTTGCTGCTACTCAGAGGAAGGGGACCATTTTGGAGTCTTTTATGACAATCTGGATAATACTGAAAAAAATATATAAGAAAAGATAAATGAGAGAAATCGCTTACATTTCTGTCCAAAGTTAGTTATTAAAAGCCACATAAAAGTAGGCTTGTACATGTCAGATTTTCTGTTAAGATGTGTTATACCTTATGCCCTTTGAAATGAGAGAGCAATATAAAAGAGGGACAAGTTGTTAGACAGTAAATCTTATTCATGTCCTTCCACGTAATTTGGCAAAGTGATAACATTAAGAAAAACTGGTGTGCCCAGGCACACGCCCTCACCCTTACTAGCAGGGCATGTCAGCATCTCACTCTCCACCTTAAGGAGAATGGGATCTGGGTCTCAGAGCACAAGTCTGCTCAGCTAGTATGTGGGGGATTGATCCAAACTGCAGGCTCTGAATTTTTTCCAAAGAAAG